CCGGTCACCGGAGGAGGAGGGTCCCACATGGCACGCAGACCTCTCCTCCTGCCGCCCGCTGCTACCCTCAGCAGTGTACTTCGGTCTTCTGCTGCTCTGCTCCCCACTCTGGCTCTGGTGAATTCTCTCACCCTCCCGAGCTTCTGACTGTACCCAGTGCTTGGATAAACAAACAAACAAACAAATAGATTAAAAAAAAAACAGTGTATTCAGTCAGACTGCCTGTTCTGCTCCCTACTCTGGTGAGTCCTCTCACCCTGCACCGCTGGCCTACACCCCCAGTTCTTCTAGGCAAAAAGAAAAAAAGATAAATAAAAAGCAAAAATTAAAGAAAGTATACTCTTTTATTTATATTTTAAAAAATTCCTTGCTGCTTAAAGCACCAGAGTCAGTTTTCAATGTAACCAAGACTCCCTCTGGTAGTCATCCTTGGTCCTCTAAGGTTCTGCAAGGGTCTCTGCACCACAAGTTCTGGCTTTGCCCATAACCATATAATTCAATGCCTCTATCATATCTCCCAACTATAATCTCAAAGCTCTTAGTCTAAAAGTCTACGGGCAGAGGTGATTCAGAATTCAGAATTCTTTCAGATTTCAGAAAGGAGATTTGGTGCCTATTCTGGAGGCACATTAGATGACCACATTACTAATTTACCATCAATGAGTTCATCCATAAGCTTGGTATCAGTTTAGATCAGGTTTTGCCATCAAATGAGTCTTGGTGCCTTGGAGCTTTTCAGAACTTTATACATTTCAGATTGCAGAAAAGAGCTAACAGTTCTGTAAAGTTAATGGTCAACATAAGCTGGCATTTATTGAGCACTCATATGTGCCAGGAGCTGTCCTAAGTATTACGTCTCACCTCTGTTGACTGAAACAAAAGTCTCTATGGTAGTTAGACTGTTGATGAACGTGAGATAATCAGTAAGGATTTGAGCCTGGGAAGGTCTGGTAGATTTTACTTCACAATAACTGTTCTGCCCACTGCTAGTTAGGATTCAGTTTATAGACCTTGTCACAGAATAGGAATCCTGTAAAGAAGAAGGTATGGGGAGTCAATGATGGTGAGAATGTAATTGTTCCTGGTTTTCACTGGGAGGTGAAGGTCTTTGGATTTCCTAAGTTATCTTGACCTAAAGAAATGTCAAAGTTAGGGTCTCCCTGGTGATGCAAGTGGTTAGGACATAACCTATGAAGCTGTCCGCAGCCACTGAAGCACAGGTTTGATCCCTGGCCAGGGAGCTGCCCACATGGCACAGACCTCTTCTGACTTACCTGCAGCTACCCTCAGCAGTATGTTTCGGTCATTCCGCCTCTTCTGTACCCCACTCTGTCTCTAGTGAGTCCTCTCACCCCCACACCTCTTAAAAGATTTATTTATTTATATAAGAACTGGGGTACAGGCCAGATGTGTGGGAGGGTGAGAGGATTCACCAGAGATAGAGCGGGGAACAAAACAGGCAGACTGATGAAATACACTGCTGGGGGGAGCAGCAGGAGAGTCAGGAGAGGTCTGCCTCGCCATGTGGGACCCTCACCGGCTGGCTGGGATTGAACCGGTGCTACAGAGGCTGCAGACACTTCACAGCACTGTGCTCAACCACCTGCGCCACCAGGGGAGGCCCTAAATAAATAAATCTTAAAAAGAAAAAGAAATGTCAAGGCTACCAGTGCGCAAAGGAGGGCAAAGTTACCTATGCAAAGAGTGCCTGGTGGAGACGCAAAGGCTAGGTACCCACTGTCAAATTATCTTTAGCTGGTCCTTGGCCACTAGTGGTGGGTACAAGTCTGATTTACCCACAGGCACCAGGTTCTCGTATGACTTGTTCTCAGAATAAGTATATGCAGGTAGTTTTGCTCTCCTGCTACTGGAGCAAGAAGGGGGATCCCAGATGGTTCATAGTATGTTCACACCACCACGCCATGAAGCATTTTTTAAAAAGATTTATTTATTTATACATACAAGAACTGGGGTACAGGCCAGAGTTGTGGGGTGTGTGTGTGAGACGACAGAGTGGTAAACAGAACAGGCATATTGACTGAAATGCACTGCTGAGGGGAGCAGCGGGTGAGTCAGGAGAGGTCTACTGCACCATGTGGGAATCTCCCTGGCCGGAGATAGAACTCATGCTGCAGTGGCTGCAGATTGCTTCATAGGTTGCGTCTTAACCCCTTGTGCCACCAGGGAGGCCCTACCATGAAGCATTTTTATGCCATTTTACAGCCAAGGAAACTGTTTTAAACTTGAGCATAGAAAAAACTCTCTACTCTGGGAAGCTATGTCAATGGATGAGAAAATGGAGGCTTAGAGAAGCAAGGAAGTGGAGGGTAGGATCCTAAGACATCCTGGGTTCTCCCTTGAGAGAGGGCAATCCAGCACCCCAAGGGGTCCAGCCCAGCCCACGCAGCCGTGACCTTTGTTTTTTTTTTTTTTTTTTAATATTTTCTTTTTTTTTAAAGATTTATTTATACAAGAACTGGGGTACAGGTCAGATGCGCGGGAGGGTGAGAGGATTCACCAGAGACAGAGCGGGGAACAGAACAGGCAGACTGACAAATACACTGCTGAAGGGAGCAGCAGGTGCAACAGAAGAGGTCTGACGCGCCATGTGGGACCCTCCCCAGCTGGCTGGGATCGAACCGGCTCTGCAGAGCCTGCGGACAGCTTCACAGCGCTGTGCTCAACTGCCTGCACCACCAGGGGAGGTCCAGCCCTGACCTTTGTAACCTTACCTCACCTTGCACATCTCCATCCCAGATCTGGGCTACAAGGAGCAGACAAGCAAAGGAAACGGCAGTCCCAGGGAAACAATTGCTCTAGCAATGGGACAAAATATAATGCAAATACCATCTCAGGAACTCACTCCATACGCAAATGTCCACTGCTTTGCAGACTGACTGTGAGCATGTAAATAACTGGGTGGATTCAATTTATGACTCCTGTGCTTGTCTTTCTCTGCCCATTGTTCCCCCTTCCTGAGTCATTTTCCCAGATTTCACAAACCTGCACAAGAGACCACAGGGTCTGACGTCGGACTGCCATGTGTACACACTGAAAACCACAAGTCTGGTAACCTAGCCCCATTTTACCAGAAGTCGAGGGCCTTGTCACGCCATTATAGTGCACACTCTCATTAAGTTATCAAGCTTGTTCTTTTTCGTTGTTGCTGACAAAACAAAGCCCTCCACTGCCAGCAGGGCTGACCTAGTCCCCAGAAGGGTTGACATGGCCCACCTCTTTTAGGCTGGCGACTCTCCAGGTAAGAAGCAGTGCCAGTTTAACCTGCACTCTTAGCCAACCCGCGTCTCCCTAACTAAGAAAACCCAGCTGCCTGTAATAAACACTTGCTTACGCTTTCCAGGTGAGATCGGTAGCTCAGATGATTAAATGATGTGACCAAGATCTACAGGTAAATATGTGACAGAGCAAGAATTTAAACTTGAGTCTATGGCGCCTCCAATGCACTGCCTTGTGATACCTTTCCAAGAATGTGGGTGAGGGGTACAAGGGCATCACATACTAGGTACATACCTCACTTTCAGAAGAGGATCCTGGGAACGTGTTGAATAAACAGAACAGTTTGTTGGGACAAGGGTCTGGAAATGCCCAAGGAACTTTGATTCACATGATGCTTGGGTCCGTGGAACGCACACTGGGAATTCCTTGCCATGTTGTTACTGTCCATCTGAGCGCTTGAGGCCCGGCCACGCTGTTTTCCACGACAGCTGCATCATTTTACAGGTCACAGTTTCAATATCTCCACATCCTTAGACCCACTATTTTCTGTTTCTTTGGTTATAGCCATCTGTGTAGGGGGCTCCCGGACCCCATTGCAGGGAGTATGGGGAGGTTCCCCCACACAACTACAACCAATTCTCAGATGCCAGCAGGGCATTCGAGAATCGATTCAATTCTGACACTATCTACCCTGAGATAGCACCAAACCCCACTATCTCCCGGAGACCCTTCTACTTCGGATAGACTGGCTCCGGGTTGAAGGGGGGGCAGTTCCCACAACCCCTCTCCAGGATTTATTTAAATAACTTGGCTTTCTCTCTCTCTCTCTCTCTCTCTCTCTCTCTCTCTCTCTCTCTCTCTTTTCTTGGTCGGTCAGCTAAAGATCTGGCAATTTTTTGATTAAAAGGTCGATCTTTTCAGAGAACCAGTTGTTTATTTCATTGATTCTCCACAGTTATTCTACA